GCATGAGAGAAATGCACACAAAGGTGCCTGTGTGAACTGTGCATAATGAGACCATAGCGCTTACAACTCCTCAGCCAGTTCATGCAGTGAGATTTTACACTTTCTAAACAATTAACATGGATACCATTAATAATATGCCACACTGAACTTTTATCTAGTGCCTTCCATCCAAGGATCTCAAAGAATCTACTACACCTGTGTGACTGTAGTGTTAATCTGGAGTCTCATTGCGTGAGTCACTTACAACTAGACAGGACAAGGCATTTGGGGGATATACTGTGAGGTACAATCTACATTTGTCACATGTACAGTGGTCCATAAACTCTTCAAACCTTAATGGTATAACAAACCCAGATTGTGGTGGTAAAGATGTACAAGTGCCTCCTAAAATGAGCACATGACAGGTATCAAAGTTAGCTGCAGCTGAAAGGATTGCAACGGCAAGCTTGAAAACAAATTATGCTAATGGCTAGAATAAGCCTGATCCTGTCTAATTTTCACAGCTCTACAGGTTTTGACCTGACTAGTACCCTTCTTTGTACTATTTACCTGGTGTTCTAAGGGGCCAAATCAACCCTCCACATGCACTGAGGCAGCTTTGCACCTCCTTATGATGGGGTCAGCAGGGGCCACTTCAGCTCCCAGTGCAGATTAAAGCACCATTCCAGCAGTCAGAAGTAGCCAGGACAGGGCACAGGAATGCCATTGTCACTTTCTATCTCCCCCCCAGAAATGCCCCTAACACATCCACTCTGCCGATGCTCCTGTGGGAGTGGCAGAGAGCCAACTGGGACACCTCTGCACCTGCCAGGAACTCCCCTTTACATCAGGGGAATTCCCAAGAGGACTGTTACAGTGGTTCTGTGGCCCTGTTAAGTTGGTATAAAGGTGCTGCAATGCACCAGTGAATTTCTCCCTATCTTTAGGCTGGCTGTGCTTTATTTTGAAAGGTAAGTATCTGCTCTCCTGCCTGGTGGCCTAGTAGTAGTGCTCTTCAGTGTTTATGTGGGAGATCTAGTTTTGATACCTGTTCTTATTATTTCTGTCCTTGAGGCTTCGGTGAGCAGAACAACAAAAATATCACAAGTCCACAGCCCTGCTGCCGTGAGCTACGATATTGTCACATCTCATAAGCTAAGCAAAACTGGCCTTCATCCATTCTTGGATGAGAAACCTCAAAGGGATAACAAGAGTCTATGGCATATGTATCCGACTGCAGCAGCTATTCACCCTGCCATTTCTATTTAAACTTCACAGACACCACTTTTTTTTTTTTTAAAGAAAAACACAGTTGCATGCAAAAATGACTTTGGCTTGTTAAAATTAAGAACCTACGTAAATAAAAGTCAGGGAGTTAAGGATATTACAGCAACGCCAACTGGCACCCCTAGGAGCATTCATTACAACATTATACAATATGTATACAGGCATGCAAAAGGTTACCTATATGCACCAAAACAAGTGTAGCTCCTTATGTGTCATTATTGCATAGTATATCACATTACCCAGCTTTGTATGAGCATTTATTATTGTTTGTTATTGTTATTTATTTATGTCAATCAACTATGGGGCCCCATTGTATTGGGCACTGTACAGACAGAGTAGCAGACAGCACCTGCCCTGAAGAGTTTATAATTTAAATTGACAAGATAGACACAGCATGGCAGAGGGGGTATAACACAGAAGCAGAGTGATCTATATATGATGGAATATAATGAACGCTTTTGTCATAGGACTCAATCTTGTGAGGGGCCAATTGCTTCTGGTGTATCTCACTTCTGTTTACCACTCACAGGATCAGACCCATAATCCACATGATCAAGGAGACATAGTTTATATTGCTGTGGAGCCTTCAACGCTAAATGCACTGACTCTGGCCAAAATTTCCTCTCTTCACTCTCCCTAGTTGTGGTTGCATGGTGTGCCATGTTCTAGTTGTTATTCTCTTTCCGAGATGTTTCCTACCGTTTGTCTGTGTGCCTGTGTTTATGTAAAGCTTCCTTCATGAGGCCTTCCTATGTTAATCTCTTCACCAACAAAGTATTGGCATGCATTTATGCTGGCACAGTTGTCTCCTGTTTTGTATTTGTCTGAGTTCGATTGCAAGCTTGTTGGGAAAGGACCTTGTCCTTGTGTTTGGTAAAGCACCACGTATGCTTGTCATGCTGCATATGTAAAAATACTTTGACATCCTTTGGAACAAAAGGTACTAAACTAATGTATTATATTCAGCATAGAACATTTTCTTAATACTATATTAACATAATTTATTTTACCTGTACTGTATTGCAAAAGACAAGAGATATTAGTTGTATGTGACAACATGAAAATTGTATCATGATTACATTGCAATCATATTTCTCCTACAGCGAGGCTATGTTTGTAGGAGTCCTGCTCCCACTGAAGTCAGTAGAAGTCTTTCCACTATCATGATGAGAGTTGGACTGAGTCCACTGAACCCAGTCCTGCAAACCATTATATACCTGAGTAGCTTTTTGCAGGTGAGTAGTCCTATTGATCTAAATAGGATTACTCATATGTATAAAGTTATTCAGTAAGAGTCTGCAGGATTGAGGACATAGTTTGTAAAAGATTTTAGTGCCTTGACTCTTTAGAGTAGTTGCATCTATTTGTTCTGCAAATGGACAGTGTGTTCTCTGAGCCATGCCCTCTGACTTCTAAACTTAAATGTTTGAATCATTGCTACGGAACATTGCCTCCTGCCACTTCCCCTACACAGCTCCAGGAGCAGCTCTGATCTGAGTCAGGAGTGCTCGCCGCACCTTCTGTCCAGTCTGTGATGCAACTGCTCAGTAGCACCCCTACTGGCCACATGGTGCATCCCTTTGGTTGCCCCACTCCTTACCTGTAAGAGCCCAGTTGGTTCTGCCTGTGCCTAGGAGAGTACTAATCAGAGGACGGTTCCTCTCCCTCATATAACTTACAAGAGGGAAAAAGAAGAGAAAACTATGAACCAACAACCAGTTACATCCCCCTCCCTTTCTGTCACAGTCCCAGCACAGATGAGAGCTCTACGGGCTGCTCTAATTTATGCCGGCTGTCTGTGGTCCCTAAAGGACATAAACCAGCTGTGGATAATCTGAATGCAGCACATTCCAGCCACTTTCCCTCCCTGTGCTGCACTGCAGAAGCTGCAAGGAGAAAGCTATGCTGGCTCTCAGTGCCTGGTGGCAACTTGAAACTGGTTGTGAGTTGGAGTGCTCCCTTTTGCACCGCCTGAGAGGCACAAACAAAGATGAACAGGACAGAGCATATAGCCCAAAGTACTAAGCGTGGCCCCTTGAACACTGAAATAACTTGTCCAGCCTTAAGGCTGAAAAGGTTGGACCTGACTCCTTTACATCTTTCATAATGAAAAAGAAGCTTTTAAAAACATTTGAGTTTTAATAAGGGTAACTGGAAATTATGCTTTCCTTGTGGTGTACAGTACCATGTGGAAACAGAAAAGAGATGGTGAAATTTTTTCATCAATAGTTTACATAATAGTGTGCTGTCATGGATGTATATGTATTGTCCCCATAAAATCTCAGCTATGAGGCTGAACAGTTTTTTTGCATGTTATAAAGTGTATTATTTGGTGAGTCTCATCAGTTGTACTTGGTGCTGTATGAAATACAGAGAAAAAGCACAAGCCCTGGCCCAAGCATCTTACGGTCTCTAACGGCCTTGTCTGCACAGGGGATTTCACTCATCCGTAACCAGCCATCAGTGTACCAGATGGAAACCCACTCGACAGGCCAAGCCATGATTTACAGTTTAGTCAAGTAAGGGTAAGTTGCACTGGCAGCAGTCATGGTTTGTAGTGGCTTACTCTTCCTATGCTAAGGGTATGCATAAGTTACTGGCCATCCCTGCCTGAAATTCCTGGGGACAAGGCCTTTGAGCCTTGAACCTACAATCAGACCCCTGTGGATGGCTCCCTGTGCCCATGCAGAAACCCACTGAAACCAATAGATGATGTAGGGATTAAGCCATGTGTGATTTCACAGGATGCAAGATATTACCCTAAATTAATAAATGTTTGAAATCAATCTTCCTCAGCAGACCTGTCTTGATGGAGGGCTCTGTGTGGCAGCTGTGTGTGTGTATACATTTTCTTTACAGGCCTGCCGGTGTGGGTGGTGATGTCTCTGCAGGCTTCTCTTGTTGATGTTAGTAAGTGCTGGTGGTGATACGCTGCCCCATCTGCGTCTCCATGTTGGGGAGGGGAGTTTCTCAGGCCTCTCTTTGTGTTTGGAGGGGTGAAAACCTCTGCAGACCTGTCTCTATCAACAGAGGTAAGGATCTCTGTGTGGGAGGGGGTTCTCAGTGGCAGGCCCAGGGAGCGAGGGTTTCTCTAGGACCACTGGGGATGTGCGTAGGGGGAGTGTCAATGTCAGGCTCGCAATGGGGGTCTTGGAGGCAGTCTTGGGGGTCCCTAGACTCCCTCTCTGCATGGGGGGGAGGTCTAGCCCTGCTGTGTGCACGGGGTGCCGGTGGCAGGCTGGGGGGGGGGGTGGATCTCTAGCCCCACGGGGTGCCGGTGGCAGGCTGGGGGGGGTCTCTAGCCCCGCCAGATGCCGGTGGCAGGCTCGGGGGAGGGGAGGGTCTCTAGTCCTGCTGTGTGCACGGGGTGCCGGTGGCGGGGAGGGGGTCTCCAGCCCCGCGGGGTGCCCGGGGTGGCGGGCTCGGGGACCCAGCGGGGACCCGGCGGGGGGTCTCCGGCCCCGCGGGGTGGCGGGCTCGGGGACCCGGCGGGGGGGTCTCCGGCCCCGCGGGGTGCCCGGGGTGGCGGGCTCGGGGACGCTGCAGCCTGGCCCCGCCCCGAGCACTCTGCAGGCCGCGCCGTGTCGCCGGGGGCCGGGCGGAGGGGGGCTCGTCCCCAGCCCGCCCCGCACACAGCCCAACACGTGAGACTCCAGCCCCCGCCCAGCTGTTTGCTCAGCTGACCCAGCCGGCGAGGGGGGCCGGGCGGCGGCGCGGCCTCTCAGTGGTGCGACGCCTGGCAGGCCCGGCCCCGGCCGCCTGCCCGCCCGCCCCCTCGTCCTCCGCCTCCCAGCGCTCGGCTAGGAGCGAGCAGCCCGCAGCCTTGTGCGGTCAGAGCCGACGCCGAGCCCGTCCCCTCCGCAGGCCGCGCCGCCTGCCCCATGCGCTGAGCCCCGGCCCCTCGGCTGCGCCTCCCCCCAGCGCCGCGCTACCCCCTGCGGGGATTGGAGCCGCCGGCCCGGACTGCGACAGGGGCCGCCGCCATGGAGATCACCGGCGAGAAAAAAAGGTACCGGGGCCCGCTCCCCAGCCGCGACCCTCCCCTGCCCCGGGCCTTCCTCTGCCTCTTTAGCTCCCCGTGGCGCTTCCCCTCCTCCTCGGGCCTGCGCCGCCCGCCTCATCCGCGGCACCGGGGCCTAATCCCCACTACCCCCCCCCCGCCCGGTCTGTGGGGCTGGGGCTCGTCCGCCTGTCCGCCCCGCCGCCCGCTTCCCACCCCAGCCTGCCCGGGGGGGTTGGAGACCCCCCGGGGATCTGCCCCCTTCATTCCACCCCCTGTCACATTCCCCTTCTCCTCCCCCGGTTATACTCTGTCCTTCCCTTCCTTTTCCCCCCCATCCCTCCTTCCCTGCCCCCGGGCGCCCCTCTTGCCCCCCCCAACCCCCCTCGCCTCCCCATCGGCCTCTATTCCCTCTCCGGAGAGTGCTGCACTCTCGTTTCTCCTCCTCCTCCTCCTCCTCCCTGCGGTCCACGTCGCCATTTTGCGGGGGAGGGGAGTGCAAAAGCTGGATTTCAGAAAATTAATATCCAGGATTTGCGCGGGGAGCTTTTGGCCGTTCTGTTTAATGCATCTTCGTCTCCAAGATAATTGATTCACATCAGTGACACTTAATGCATAGGCCCGGTGGAATTCAGTGGCCTGAGCTGCTTTTTTGCTGCCACACGGAGCATTACACAACTTAATAAAATAAAATAACCCCAAAACCCACCCTTGTTCTGCTCTTGGCTTGGAGTAAGTAGAGAATGACTTGCCGTTGATTAACTGTGATGTGTGTTCACCTGATTTCATGACTATGTTCTGTGTATAATTTCAGGTTTCAGAGTCGCAGCCGTGTTAGTCTGTATTCGCAAAAAGAAAAAGAGTGCTTGAGAGTGTAATAGTGTTTGGATGAGAAGAGGGGGTGGTTTTTAGTGTGTAGATTTGTATTAATAAGAACCATACTCTTGTTTAAAGCTCTCTACAATCTGTCAGAAAATAGATACACCAGATTAATAAAGGTAGAACAGTTACAGGCAGCAGAAACGAAAATACACAGCTGTTCAGTAGTTATTTCAAAAATTGATGGATTTTTAAAGCCAGATTGGGAAGGAAGAGAATGTCTGTATATGCTGAGAAAATCAACACAGTATTTTTTTGAAAGGTACAAATGTGATGAGGTGTTCTGATACTGAAAACAACTCCAGAGTGCTGTTTGTACTGGAAGGGATATGTGAACAATGAACTGTGACGTCGTCGTCGTCGGGGGTTTTTCTGTTTTTTTTTTTTTTTTTTTTAAGGCATCTTCTGCAGTTTTGGTTTCCATAATTGGCTGGTTTTTGTTGAGGTTGGGGGGGAGGGAGGAAGAGTGGAGATTCTTAAAATTTTGAACCCATAAGTAAAAATTCCTCTTCAAGACGCTGATCCTCTAGAAAAGAGAGAGTTTACTGAACAATGTATGTTCCAAAGTGTAAATAACTTTCTTCTCTAAGAATTTTTAATTCAGATTCAAAAGGGGGAAATGAAAGCTTCGAGAAATAAACCTTATTGTATGTTGAAGGTGTAGAGTTTGCTGGGGAGCAAAGTATTTTGGTTATTAGGTTTTTAGATTAAACAAACTCCACCAATGCGCTTTGAGGAGGGATTAATTTAATCTCCATCTGCAGAAGGCAGAGTATGTTTATATTGTTGTTGTTAGGGTGACCAGATGTCCTGATTTTATAGGGACGGTCCCGATTTTTGGGTCTTTTTCTTATATAGGCTCCTATTACCCTCCTCCCCCATCCCGATTTTTCACATTTGCTGTCTGGTCACCCTATATTGATACCTTTTTTGAGATTTAGAGTAGCAGCTGTGTTAGTCTCTAAGTGCCACAAGTACTCCTGTTTTTTTTTGAGATTTGTTATCTTGGTCTTTGTATCAGAGAATCATCTGAGAAGGTCAAATGAGAGAGAGATATAAAATGCTTTACTATTTAAATCATACTGGAAGTGAGACGAATTAAATATCTTTGTGGCTGAACTAGCTTTTTCTGGTGGATATTGATTTTGTGCAGCTAGAGGTTGCAAATACTGTGTGTGAAAATACTGAGCAATTTACTTGTGGGGGAAGTGCTACCTTTGCACCAATTGCAATTTGTTTCAATTTAAAAAAAAAAGTCTTATGTAGCAAAATGCATACAAGTAGGGTACATATGGGTGGTTCCCCTTCTAAACTCATGTGTTCCACTCAGCGCTAATAACTATCGGGAAGCCTCATAGAAAATGTTGCACCATAAGTAAATGACCTTTACTGAGCTTGGCCCAGTTTAAAGGCTGGTCTTGAAAAGGTTTGGGGGGTTCAGTTTTTTTAGTCCCTTCATTCTGTGTCCGTGGCTGTTATTTTTCTGACCACCCTCTTTTATTTGGCAGCTTTTTCCCATTTTCCTGCTGCTGCTGGATGTGATCTGCCATTTTATTTTTATTTTATTTTATTTTTCGGTGTAAGAATCAGTGTACATAGGAGGGAGGGGATAAGCTAAAGGTGAAGCTCAAGAATGAGAATTTATTGGCTGCTGCTTCCTGGAGACCTACTTCAATGTGGGAAGAACTTCCTTCTGAATCTTCCTGTGAAGTTGTATTAACTCTAAAGTATTGTGGAGTATGTTTTTTGTTTGAAAAAGAAACAGTATAAAATTTAAGTTGTAATTTAGGAATACTCTTCCTGATGTTATAAATGCATAGAGCAAAGATGTGGGTAGCCATAAAAGGAAGGACATGAGTTGACATTTATGCAACTTGGAGCAGAGAACTTGTTGAAAGTCTGTGTTACTTGAGAGACAAGATGAGTGAGGTCATATATTTTTATTGAGCCAATTTCTGTTGGTGGAAGAGGCAAGCTTTCAAGCTACACAGAGCTCTTCTTCACCCACCTTGTCTCTCTAAAATCTGGGGACCAACATATCTACAGTACTGCAAACATCAAATGTTACTTAACAGTCCCAAATTGTTTGAGGTGGGTTAGGTTTGACTGTGTGTATTGAAGGATTCTTTGAAGCTGATTCTTTCCATTTTCCAGTAATGTTTTCTTGAAGCTACAGAAATGCAACATTTGAGCCAAAGCTTTAGTGATGATGACTCACTACAGTTTAATTTTCTACTCTCATACATTCATTTAGTTGAATCTTTCTTATTTTACACCACATGAACATTGATGCTTATTTTTAGTTTTGTTAAAGTTTCTCTCATATTTAGAGACGCAACATAAATCCTGTGGTGGTTTCCATCTTTTTTTTCCCCCGACGTGTTGGAAACAGAACTAAATTTTGTAAGAATTTGGATAAAAGTTAGTATTTGTCATAGAGCAGAAAAAAAGTTGCAATACTATAAATACAGGAGCAGCAAAGATTGGGAAACCATCTTACTTGACAGTTTACTCTGGAATTTAGTATAAGAATAAAGGAATCTTAACACTTGGGTACGTCCGATTCATGAGTATTTGCAAGAGGATATAAAGTGAGACTTGTTATCTGCTAGTTGAGTGTGCTGTGAAGTCCTGAACTTAATTATGTAGGTGAGTAGCTATAGGTATATGAAGAATGAAAAAGGGAAGCTGTATGTAAATGTAGATCAGTGATGATAGTAATTTTAAATGTGAATTGGTGGCTTATGGACTTACTGACTCATGGAAAACTTTGAAAGACACTTGAAAGCCATTCTGCTTTATATAGCTCAGAACTTCTGTAGTTCTAGTTTCATTCCTTATGGACACTTGAGCCCAGTATAATTAACAAACTGACATATTACTGACAATTATTTGGGTTTTGCCTCTTCCCTTGCAGTTAAACCATCTTCAGTATGGGTTCATGGAGGCCTGTTGCCACTTGTGCCTTGTGGGGAGAAACAGGGTCTCTGAGAGGGGTTTTTGTTTTCAATTAGTAAGCCTCGGTTGTTGTTCTTTTGGGCTTTTGTTAAACAGGATAATACCAATATGCTTACCCTTTATTTCCAAATAGGGTCTCTTACTCTACTGTTCAGTTCTTTGGTGTGAATTTGGCCAAAAACAAAAGTAATCCAGCTTAAAAGGATAGTATATGCTAAAGTAATGTTTTAGCCCCCTAAATTTTATAAACTGGGTACAAATGCTTGGTGCTGCCAACAGGGTTTTTTCTCTGTGCTCACCATTAGCAGCATGACGCTTGCGCCATCTTAAGTGTATGTGCTGCGTAGTAAAACTAGTTAATATTATTAAAGACATGCTGCTTGTGACTACACATACTAGAAAAGGAAACTAAACAAGAACGCTATCATCTTCTTTCTTGATACTATAACATTTATTTCCTGAGTATTCAATAACTTTTGGAGTAAATTGTTCCTTCTGTTTTAAATATTATCTATTAAGGGTAACATACAGGAGAATTTTAAGAGGTAATCTCGGGTGTTCAGTATGCCTTATATATCAGTAGTTTACATGTCTCATGTAACACTCATATGCAACACTCATATTTGGTTTCTAGTTTCATTAAAACTACAGTTATCGTCTGCATGTTTAATTCTTAGTTGGGACTTAAAAACTTGACTAGACATCCATTATTCAATTCCAGTATGAGAAAGGAGGGTGTGGTCTCCACCAGCAAAACCTGATGAGAAGCCAAGTTCCAAGGCCAACAGATACACAGATGATGAGGGGGGATGACCGTTTTGCTGAGGCTATTCCAGCATCTTATCTCTGGAACCATTCATCATGGACTTTGTGTTTTTAAAAAAAATCTCACTGTTAACACTGATTCAGCTCTGCCAGTGTGAGCAGTGGTGGGAAACTCAGCCAAAAAGGCTAATCTATGTCATCGATATCAGTTACTGATTAGTAAAAGTCTGAAAAATGTGAAGTCGCACCTCCCCAGGTGTTGTGAGAGGGGGAGATTTTCTGTCTCTTTATGCATAAGTACTTCCTGTTTCTGCAAGGGGGGGGAAATGGTCTCCATTGCTTTACCTTTTTAATCAGCCATGTTTTGTGTGGCGCATCAGAGTAATTAGCTCCAGTGTCTGTTTCTG